GAACAGATGCTGCAGTGGGTTACAATCTTTTGGAAGAGTATTATCTTCTACCGATGCTCTTGTACTTCCCAGACACAGAAGACATGCAAGATGTTTATTTCCTTACAAAGTGTAAGACATATGGCAGATTTTCCTTGGGAATCTGATCCATAGCCAAACATTGCAAAAACAGATGTGCTGAGAGTCTAATATAATGTAAGGTGTGTGGTGTCTTACAAACAGTATTAATGATAAATTATGTGACTATTCAAAGTCTATGCTCCTCTATAAGGTGAGTGTATACAGTATAAATATAACAATGTCAGCTTTAATAGATGTCCTTATAGATGCTCATGTAGAAATCTTGAGGTTCAAAGACTTATAAGTAGTTAAGCATTGAATCTAGATCTGCCTGTTTAGACTATATTGTTGTTCATGAGTTAGGACCCAAGGCAACCAGCAGAGAGTGTTTGTTGTTTTAATTTTAAAGTACCATATATGTTGATATCATTGTATAACTAAAGGAGAATATGAATAATAATGATAATCTTCCTCCTCCTTCTCATGACTAAAAAAAAAACAGGGTTGGCATGAATCAGAAATGGTTTGAAGGCATGCAAGAGATCTATAGTAACACATCCATCTGAAACAAACTTTTTGCAAAGTCATTGGTTTTAGCAGAATCGGTTTTGACCACACTTGCAACCTCATTTATTTTGATTTCTCTTTTTATGAATCAGTTATAATAATCTGGGATAGAAAATGATAATTACTGAAAAATATCATGATGACAGAATTCCAGGAATGTCATAGTAGAGGAACGTCCTGCACCCTCTCCCACTGACATAGGGCAGGGATGAGAAAATGTTCTCTCTCCACATGTTGTTGGGTGGAGACTCTCATGACTTCCAGGGCAGCATAGCCAATGGTGTGGCATGCTGAGAGTTATTGTCAAACAACATTGGTAACTCCCTAAACGCCTCTTGCATATAGAAAGTCCATTCATATACATAGATTCTCAAACCTGTTTGTGAACTTATGGTAACTAACATCACTACCTGTCTAAGTAAGTAAGTAAGTAAGGAAGGAAGGAAGGAAGGAAGGAAGGAAGGAGGGAAGACTATAAGGCAATTTCCTTTTGTCTGGGAAAATGTCAAGAGATACTCAATTATAGAGGTTAAAGGGAAGTCCATTTCTCTGTCTGTCCAACACCCTAGCAAAACCAATCCAATGCCTTGTATGATTGATGTAGTAGATTATCTTGGCAAGTGTTTCTTTCTGTTTTCTTCTTCTTTCTTCTTCTTTTCTTTATCATGATGACAGGTTACATCAAGATGTTTTCCACTGTGAATTAGCAAGAAGTCTTCAGCCAAGCATAAGTTGTTCTGATTGTAGTCTGTTGAGTTTTCACTTGGTCATCAGAAGTTCATGTAAAGTCCAAGGTCTAACAATAACACAGCTTTTTTTCTTTGCTCCTGTTCTCTTCATGGGGTATAAACAAATATAAAATAATAATAAATACTTTTTTGTTATTACAGTTCATATATGTGCCCCAATCTCTTATTAGGCATTGGTTGAACCTTTTGGTTTGCTAGCCAAATTGAATGACTGGTTGGCAAAAGGATGCATTGTGTAAAAAAGTGGGTCACCTAGATGAAATATTTGGAAAGTGTAGTAGTGGCTAGTTAGGTAGCTAGCTATATAGTTTTAGCGCTAAATCTTTTGAAGATTGGTGAGGGGGCTTTATGGATCTAATTTATTGTCAGAAGATAATATTTTCTAGACCCTGTTTTTAAAATCTCCCAAGCACATTATAGAGTGATAGGGACTATATCATCTGTATAGGAGGTGCTTAGCTTCCATAGAGAAATCCTTGCAGGCTTCAGGTCCAACCTATCTTCGAGACCACATCTCCTTCTATGAATTGCTGCGGGCACAAAGATCTACCAGGAAGGTCCTCCTCTCAGTCCCGCCTCCATCTCAAGTGCAGTTGGTGGGGACAAGAGAGAAGGGCCTTTTCAGTGGTGCCCCCCCAGCTTTGAAATGCCCTCCCGAGGGAGAATAGGCTAGCCCCTGCTCTCAAATCCTTCAATATACAATTGAAGACATGGCTTTTTAGACAAGCCTTTGATCATGTTTAGAAATTCGAGGACCTAGAGCATCGTTTCTCAACCTGGGGGTTGGGAACCCTGGGGGGGGGGGGGGGGGGGGGGTTGTGAGGGGATGTCAAAGGAATTGCCAAAGACCATCAGAAAACAGTATTTTTTGTTGGTCATGGGAGTTCTGTGTGGGAGGTTTGGCCCAATTCTATTGTTTATGGGGTTTAGAATGCTCTTTATATGTGAACTATAAATCCCAGCAACTACAACTCCCAAATGTCAAGGTCTATTTTCTCCAAACTCCTCCAGTGTTCACATTTGGGCATATTGAGTATTTGTGCCAAGTTTGGTCCAGATCTGTCATTGTTTGAGTCCACAGTACTGGTTTGGATGTAGGTGGACTACAACTCCAAAACTCAAAATCAATGCCCACTAAATCCTTCCAGTATTTTCTGTTGGTCATGGGAGTTCTGTGTGCCAAGTTTGGTTCAATTCCATCATTGGTGGAGTTCAAAATGCTCTTTGATTGAAAGTTAACTATAAATCCCAGCAGCAACAACTCCCAAATGACAAAAACAACCCCCCCCCCCCAAAACCCACCAGTATTCAAATTTGGGAGTATTGGGTATTTGTGCCAAATTAGGTCCAGTGAATGAAAATACATCCTGCATATCAGATTTTTACATTATGATTCATAACAGTAGCAATGAAAATAATTTTATGGTTTACCCCTCTTCCTTTTTCCTTCCATTTTCCCAAGTATCATTGTCTTCTCTAAGCTTTCCTGTCTTCTCATGATGTGGCCAAAGTACTTCATCTTTGCTTCTAATATCCTTCCCTCCAGTGAGCAGTCGGCCTTTATTTCCTGGAGTATAGACTGGTTGGATCTTCTCACAGTCCAAGGCACTCTCAGAATTTTCCTCCAGCTCCACAGTTCAAAAGCATCTCTCTTTCTTCGCTCAGACTGCCTTATGGTCCAGCCCTCGCATCCATAGGTTACTACAGGGAATGTAGTATGTGGATCTTTGTTACCAGTGTGATGTCTCTACTCTTCACTAATTTTTAGAGATTGGTTATTGCTCTCCCAAGAATTAAACGTATTCTGATTTCCTGGCTGCAGTCTATGCCTGCAGTCATTTTCGTACCTAGAAATACAGTTTGTCACTGCCTCCACATTTTCTTCCTCTATTTGCCAGTTATCAATCAGTCTGGTTGCCATAATCTTGTTTTTTATGTTTAATTGCAACCCAGCTTTTGCACTTTTTTCTTTCATCTTGATTAGAAGGCTCCTCAGCTCCTCCTTGCTTTTGGCCATCAAAGTGGTATCATCTGCATATATAGGGTTGTTAATGTTTTGCCCAGCAATTTTAACTCCAGCCTTGAATTCATCAAGCCTTGCAGGTTGCATCATGTGTTCTGCATACAAGTTGAATAGGATGGGTGAGAGTATACAGCCCTGCCATACTCCTTTCCCAATCTTGAACCAGTCTGTTGTCCCATGGTCTGTTCTTAGTGGGGTATAAATAAAGTTATTATTATTATTATTATTATTATTATTATTATTATTTTACTGACACAAAAACACAGTATGTCACAGCAAATGAGATATATATGCTGGATTTCGTATCACAAAATCACAAGTCGAACACTTCCCAAGCATCTAGGACTGTGTGATGTATTTTTTAATAATGCGTGCAGATCCAAGTAAGGTGGCCTTTTGCAGTTGACAGATCATGATTTTGTCAATGTTTATAGTTTCCAAATGCCAGCTGAGATCTTTTGGCACGGCACCCAGTGTGCCGATCACCACTGGGACCACCTGTACTGGTTTATGCTAGAGTCTTTGCAGTTTGATTTTAAAGTCCTGAAAATGGCTGAGTTTTTCCTGTTATTTTTCCTCAATGTGACTGTCACCTGGTATGGTGACATCAATAGTCCAAACTGTTTTCTTTTCCACAATTGTGATGTCTGGTGTATTGTGTTCCAGAACTTTGTCAGTCTGAATTTGAAAGTCTCATAGTATTTTTGTGTGTTCATTTTCCACTACCTTTTCAGGTTTATGATCTCACTAGTTCTTTACTACTGGCAGGTTATTATTATTATTATTTGAAACACAACAAGATGAGTCCACAGCAGACAAGATCATTCTGCTGGCTGTTGTATTGGATCACATGTTGGACGCTTCCCAAGTGTCTAGGACTGTGTAACGTATCGGCAAATAATGTGTGCAGATCCCAGTAAGGTGGCCTTCTGCAGCTGGCAGATGATAATTTTGTCAGCACCAATTGTGTTCAAGTGCAGGCCAAGGTCTTTAGGCACTGCACCCAGTGTGCCGATCACCTTGACTGGCTTGTACCAGAGTCTTTGCAGTTAGATCTTTAAATCCTCATATCATGCCAACTTTTCCAGTCGTTTCTCTTCATTCGTGATGGCACTGGGATTGCAACATCGACGATCCATACTTGGTTTTTTAAACATGATTGTGAGGTGAGGAGTATTGTGCTCCAGAATTCTTGTCAGTCTGAATTCGGAAGTGTCCTCGCTGTGAGTAATTTTCCCTTTCTTTAATGCCACTGTGGCACATTTGTTGTTGTTGTTGTTGTTGTTATTTCACAGCAAACGAGATCTTTATGCTGGATTTCGTATCACAAAATCACAAGTCGAATGATGTTGATGATGGTGGTGGTGGTGGTGGTTGTTGTTGTTATTATTATTATTATTATTATTATTATTTTATTATTATTATTGTGATGTGTATTTCCGACTTTAAAAGATAAAAGCCGGCTTCTCTCCTTGCAGCGGCGAGAAGGCGGGTGCCATTCCGCGCGCGGCCTGCAGTGGGCGCTGTTGCCTCCCTCCTCCTCTGCCGCCGCGGGAGGGACTCAGCGCCTCGGACTTGGTCCTCACTCACTCCTCCTGTGCTGCTGCTGCTGCTGCTGCTGTGCGTTGCTGTGCCTGTGTGGCTGGAGGGCTTGGCGGGGAGGAGGGAGGGGGAGAGGGAGAGGGAGCGCGCGCTCCCCGCCTTTGGCTCCCCTCCCTTTGGCCTCGTGAGGAGGATGAGGAGAAGGCGCCCGGCGGCTGGAGCGCACGAGCCCACAGAGGTGGCGGCAGAGGCAGAGGCAGAGGCAGCAGCAGCAGCAGCAAGGGGAGTAGCAGTGGGAGCCAGCCACGGAGGGGCATGGAGAGCCTGGTGAGCCCTCCCCTCGCCACCTTCTGAAGGAAAAAAAGGCGCCAGGAGGAAAGCCCTCGAAGAGGAGGAGGGGGAGGAAAGGGGCCACCTTGGGGCTCACCCACCCCTCCTTTGCCTGCCTTGGCCACTCCACCTTTTCCCCGCCATGAGCCAGGCTGTGCCCTGCAGCCTTTGAGGAGACCTTGCCCCTGAGGAGAAGGCGACGACGCAGCCTCGGTTGCCAAGGTAAGGGCAAGGCTTGGCCGCCCGTGAGGGGAGGGCCGGCTCCCCCAACATCCCCACTTCAGAGGGAAAGTCAGCTTCCCTCAGGCCAGTTCTGGAGTCTCTTCTTTCGTGCGTGTGGGAGAGACAGGGAAGGGGACCCATTGGGGTAATAAGGTGGGACGGGGAGGAGAAGAGAGGAAGAGGAAAGGGAAAAGGCAAAGGAAACAGGCAAGGAGAAAGAGCATCATCCCAAAGGCTGGCTTATTTCTTTCCTTTTTGGGCTTCCAAATGAACTCAGGGAAATGGGAAGAGAGAGGAGAAGGGGCTCAAGGCGGCCCATCCAGAGAGAGCCCCCCCCCCCCTTGTAGGCACCACTGTGGAATGAAGGCAGTTTGACGCCACTTGGACTGTCAGGGCTCACTCAGTGCTGTTGGGAGTTGAAGCGTTGCAAAAGTGCAGGTGCCTCACCAAAGCCACAACCCCTAGGATCCCTCAGTATTGAGCCAGAGCAGTTCAAGTGGTGCCAAACTGCACCTGGCCTGACAACACAGGGTAGTGTTTTGACTATAGATGCATCTTCAAGTGGTAGCCCTGGCCCAACAGCACAAAGCAGTGTTTTGACAAGGGTGCATCTTCAAAAGGTACCCCTTGATTGAAAACACATGATTGTGGTTTGACTATGGGTGCGTCTTCAAGTGGCATCCCTCGAACGACAGCAAAAGGCAGTGTTTTGACTAGGGATGCATCTTCAAATCATACCACTGGATCAACAGCACAAGATTGTGGTTTGACTACAGGTGCATCCTCAAGTGGTACCTAGTCAAATAGTGGTTTGACTAAGGGTGCATCTTCAAGTGGCAGCCCTGGACCAACAGCACAAGATAGTGTTTTGACTATAGGTGCATCTTCAAGTGGCAGCCCTGGTCCAATAGCACAAGATCGTGGTTTGACTATGGGTGCATCTTCAAGTGGCAGCCCTGGAACGACACCATGAAGCAGTGTTTTGATTATGGGTGCATCTTCAGGTGGTACTCCTGGATTGACAGCACAAGATAGTGTTTTGACTATGGGTGCATGTTCAAGTGGCACCCCTGGCCTGATAGCACAAGACTGTGGTTTGACTACAGGTGCATCTTCAAGTGGCACCCCTGAACCGACACCACAAGATCGTGGTTTGACTACGGGTGCTTCTTCAAGTGCAGATTGACACCACTTGAACTGCCCTGACTCAGTGCTATAGAGAAGCATGGAAGCTGTGGTTTATTGTACGTCTTTTTGCCTTCTCTGCCTCACCAAATGATAAGCTCCAGGATTCCATTGCATTGCGCCAGGGCAGTTCAAGTGGTGTCACACTGCATCAGTTCTACCGTGAAGGACAAGGTCTGAATAAGGTTTTGAGCAAGGATTATGGAAGATTGGCACTTTATATGTTTTTAACTCTCATATTAATCTGTGTATTTGTTTGCTTAATTTGTTTTAATTGCGTAGTTGCTGGAATATGTTTTTATGACTATGTTTACATGGCATTGAATTTTGCCAGATCTGTAAGCTACCTTGAGCCTCCCAAAGGGGTGAGAAAGGTGGGGTATAAATAAAGCAAATGCATAAATAAATAAATAAGAAGGACACCCCCCTCCCAAAGGGATCAAAGAGCTGCTTCGTGAAGAGCTGCTCCATGGGAGTGGGGAAAGGAAAGAGCAAGAAAACCACTTGCCTTTTCAGGGTGGTGCTAGGGATCCTTTTGGAGGGTCATGCCAGGCCATCGGGGAACAAGTTGCACTCCAGGCTCTCTGCTGCACCCAAGGGTTTTACAGCCATGAATGGAAACTGATGGTGGGGTTAGATCAAGCATGGAAAAACTTGGGTCCTCCAGGAGTTTTGGACTTCAGCTCCCACTATTTCTAACAGCCTCAGGCTCCTTCTTTTCCCCCCTCAGCCGCTTAAGCTGCATGGCAGAAGGTTGGACTAGATGGCCCCTGTGGCCTTTTCCAACTCTATAGTTCTATGAACTGTGCAATCAAAGAAATTAAACAAAAAGACTATGTGTGTGCATGCACAGCTGGAGAGTCAAAATATGTTATTTAAGTCCAAGCAGAATGGTTTGGAAGTAGTTGCCTCTGCCATTGAGAGAATTTAGTCCTAAATATGCATATTTGGAACTATGATGCAGTGAAATGAATGGAATGCTTCAAAATGAGAGGACTACACTGTGTATGGACCATAAGTGGCTATAAGAAGGCCTTTGTGTAGGGTGTGAGCAATACGGCTTTGGGTTGTTGTGTGGGTTCGAAAGTGAAATAGAGTACCAATGTTCATCAGCTTGGGTACTGGCTATATAACTTTAGCCTTTACATTAGAGTCACAGTTGTAAGAAATACTCTGCCTTCTGCTCCAACAAGAGCCATGCTAAAATGTTAATCCCAATGATCTTCAACCCGCCATCAGCCTTCCAGATGTTTTAGACTTCAACTCTCACAATTCCTAACAGTCTATCAGCTGTTAGGAATTGTGTAAGTTGAAGTCCAAAACACCTGAAGGACCAAAATTTGCCCATGGCTGTCTTAAACCCATTGAAGCATTCGCTTACATAAACAGTGGCCAAACAACCACATTGATCTGATGGGTATGCTCTAGTTCTGAGCTTACAATTGAATTGAGACCAGAACAGTTTAAATGTCACTTATGCATATGGCACTCTGGTTTATATTTGGGCTTAATTATGCAGTTGACTAAACAGTTGATAGCCCAATTTTTTCATATAGTGTGCATCAGGCCCGTAGCCAGGATTTCGATTCGGGGGGGGGGGGGGCTGAGTCTGAGTGAAAGAGGGTCTACCCTAGCAAACCTTTTGTATCGTTACTCCAATACCCCCATGCATATGGGATATATTGAGTATGGTGATCAGATCATGATATGAATAAACATAACAGTTTAAATAATGCACCAGAAAGGCCTTTTCGCGAACCACCATGATAATTTCAGGGGGGGGGGTGAAGCCCCTCAAGTCCCCCCCTCCCCGACTGGTGTGCATCTACACAGCAGTATTAATTCAGTTTGACTCCATTTTCTACTTCATCACACTAGAGAATGAATCCACTTTAAATCTGGTTTCTGCTTCCTGCAGAATTCTGGGATTTGTAGCTGAGTGAGGCTGTTAAAGGCTCCTCCCTAAACTACAAACCTCAGAATTCTGCAGGAGGCAGAAACTGGATTTAAAGTGGATTCATTCTCTAGTGTGATGAGGTCCTTTAACTGCCATGGCTCAATGCTGTGGAATCCTGAGATGTGTAATTCGGTGAGCCACCAGCACTCTTAGGCAGAGAATGCTGAAGACCTGATAAAATTGCAGCTTCCTGAATTCCATAGCATTGAGCCAAGGCTGTGTCAAATTGCATTAATTTTATGGTGTAAATGCACCCCTAGGGTACATCTACACATATGCACTCTAGGTATGCACATACTTACAAAATAAATGAAATATAGTATATGAAAGCTTATGCTATATACTTCCTTTAGCTAAGTCCCATTGGTGCCATAATATCTCTTTGTATTTTGCTTAGCATGGCTAGGGATTGAAATAAAGTAGTGGCTTGGATGTGAGCAAACTTTTCACTGCCTTGCTCTGTGCTAGTGGTTCTCAACCTGTGGGTCCCCTGGTGTTTTGGCCTACAACTCCCAGAAATCCCAACCAGTTTACCATCTGTTAGGATTTCTGGGAGTTGAAGGCCAAAACATCTGGGGACCCACAGGTTGGGAACCACTGCTCTGTGCAAAGGCAGAGACTCATGAAACATGGGGGAAAGCATGAAGGATTCATGGCTTTCTCTGTTTCCTTTTGTGCATAAGAGTGTACAATCTGGTGTATGGAAATGGTTGCCTCCAAACCTCTCTTCCCTCCTCCAAATGTTGTCATAGCTGGATTGCATTGCCATGCTGGTCATGTGCAAGTCCTTATCACTTGGTGAAACCAGCTTCAGAACAAACAGGTCACCTGTCCTTCTGGATGATGGGAAATGCTGAGACAGTTGGGCTGGCAGTCATTAAATGAGAGAAGAGTTATGGCCTTAGGGTTTTTGAAAGAGAAATTCCACTCTGATTGCTCTTTACATTGGTTTGTTGCCTGCTGCAATTTGAGCAGCAAAGAAAGACCTGAAAGGGAGGCGAGGTGAGTGCCTTGTGGATATACTTTTTCTCTTTACATATTTATTTTTGTACAAGCCCCCATAGTTTTGTCACCCATCCATATAACACATCCCACTGGCTGTGTGGAGGGGCTGGATAAATCTATTTTTGTTGATTGGGTAAGTCCACAAAAGAGGAGGAGGTTACCAATTAAGCTTAGAGTGTTACTTTTAAGAAGAATAAATATTATGAAATGCTGAATCCAGAGCACCATTAAGCACCAAGAAGAAGAAATATAATGAAATGCTGGGTCCCAGAACATCATCCCACTACTACTCAGTTACGAATGCATTAACATGTCATTGTACTATAATAATTCCCTTTACAAGTAGCATTCAAAGTTATGTTATGACTGGTTTGGGTTACATTCATTTTGCTGTTTCTCATGTTTTGCAGGGTTGATTTTAGCCTATTTAGTTTCACTTGCATTTTTTTCCCTTTGCTAGAGAAAAGTACAACAAAGAATATGGGTATACTATTATTGGCCTATGCACACTTGCATGGAAGTAGATGCTGTCAAGACTGGTAATCCTGATGTTCAAGTTCAGTATTAGGGAGCCTTTGTACTTTTTGTTTTTCCTGAAGCACTGACTCACATTTGTTCAGTGGCACTCACCCTCAAGTAAGTGTGCATGGAATAGATGAATGAGACATAGCATAAATAGTGTGAAAATAGCTGAAAGGCAGTTTAGTGAGGAGGTGCACAGAACCAAATAATTGTATAACAAACTTGGATGTTTTGTATGGGGGACTATTTTACTGTTGACAAAGACACCCCCCTCCCCCTTTGCATCACAGCCTGTAGCTTTGCTAATTCCTTATATTTAGCTTTTAAATAT